TCAGAGCAGTTCTGGAGATGTTGTTCATGTATTTATGTCCTCATGTAGTGATACGACAGAAGCTGAAATCACCGCGAGTATCACGTGTAGAAAACAAAACCGCGCGTCTGTGCCATTTACATACACAGACAGACGCAGAACATGCAGGATTCATATTTAAATAGTATTTTTGAATATTTCTATCTGAAGCAACGTCTGCTGCTGCCTTACCTTTGAGAGACAACTGATCACTGAAGCAGCTCCAGTTAGCAAGCGCTTTCGGAGTGAGAATTAATTCCGCTTCGACTGGTCGGACTCGTGACTCCCAGCAAATCAGATGGGCGGTGGGCGGAGATTGCTTTAGACCACAGAGTGGTGAGTTCTGACAGGCTGCATCAGAGCCAAATAGCGCGTTTCAAAATTAAAGGTGACATATCATGAAAATCTGACTTTTCCAGGTTTTAAGTGCTATAATCAGGTCCCTGGTGCATCTAGCAACCAAGGAAACATGAAAAAGATTAATCTAGTAACTTTGTTTTGGTAAGCCTTTTTCTGCAAGCGTCTGGAAAAACGAGCGCGTCTGATTTCACTCCCTTGGTGACGTGGCAAAGGGATCTCATTATAATATTACCGCCCCTTAATCTCCTAAATTTCCATCCACGGCGCCGTCATTGTGTTTTCGCAAGTGACAATGGTGTACCAGCTCTAATGCCATGGCGAAAGTTTGAGCAAAACACGCTAACTGCTCTGCCTTTGTCTGCACAGACCAGCACAGAACACTATTTAGATCTAAAATAAGCATGCGATTTATTTCCCAGCAGTTTACCTTCATAGACATAACTGACTGTTTTTGCAACTCGTGTATTTTTTACGTAAACTTGTGTGTGAATGAGAACTTAGTTTAGTACTCACATGCTGTATGGTGGCCGCTTTCTGTCCGTGTGCTTCGGATGTGTGCACTCAGAAAACCGTGTATCAGAAGTTTAAACTCATATGGTTTAAAACGCATGATTTCAGCACGATAAACA